TCTTTATCTTAATCAATGGTGCATACACAAGAGTATGGCAGCACTTAACATGTGGAAAAGAAATGTATTTTAAGTCAAAAGAGAGATTAGCAATTTTCTGAACCATTCTCAACATGATTTACGGTTACATTGTTTTAGGCATTGTATCTGTTCTAGTTTGTCAACTTCTATTTTCCATTTAAATGAACCTGCAATAGCTAGGTGTTCTATTTCCTATTCTGCAATCATGAAATTTGCAATGAAACTATTCTAGTATTTGCCAAAATTCAAAAAGATTTTTTATTATCCTTAGCACCTATGTATGTACAATATTGCTGGTGTTTAGCTTTCTTATTCACATCTACCTATTAGGTAGTTCTTTAAAACAGAACTCCAGGAATTATCTTTTTTGGGGAATTAATATTGACTTTGTTTGGCTCAAAGTAAGTATCCATATATGATATCTTGAGGACCACTGGGAGTGCTGAAAATCACTGTAGTATATACCGCATATATATATATAATGATAGCCGTGATTTTCCAGGTGGGGTTTCAGCGGCTTCCCCTCTGCACACTGAGCACAGGAAGTCTTTTCGGTTGGCAACGCTACCATTCAGAGAACAACTTGTAATTTCTGAGGTTGATGCCACATCTTCTACCTCATCCTATCACAGAACCCCTCCTTATGTATTTCTTCTGTGTATTTAGCTGGGGTTCAGCTTTAATCTGATCATGCTCACCCAGATCCATAAGTCCCTGTTCACACCAAAGCATACCCGGAGCAGCGCGTTTGTGTGTGTTTTTTCTCGTGCTTGCTGTGCATTTCAATGTGGTGCCAAAAACACAACAAACGCAGGAAAGTAGCTCATGTAGCAGATTCTGCTACAGGCATCTCACTTATTTTCACGTGCATTCGTGCGGCCTGCAGCCGGGTGCCACTATTGGAGGGGTGCCGCCAAAATGACTGACAGTCATTTTGGTGTCACCCCTATAAAAAGTTGGGCACGTATCAAGAGCCCGACAGTGTCAGGAGAGAGGAGGGGACCCGGCGGCATACCTCATCCCGCCGGGTGAACGTCCCCTCCTCTCTCTGCCGGCGTGCATCACTAAGATGGCCACTGGCAGGCGTCAATACGACGACCGAGCATGCGCGATGATGTCAACGCGCACGCACGTTGCAACGTCAGGAGCATGATGAAGTCACGGCGAAATGTAACCTGGTCTTCGCTCCGGGTCTCACCCAGCCACGGGACGCCCCTGGGGTTAGGTTCCTCCTTAAAGTTCCTGCCAGACCTTAAGGGTCTGGTATGACTTTTGGGGGGAACCACACACTTTTTTTTTCTTTATAAATGTCATTTTTGCTGCAGAAAGTTCTTATAGATTGTGCAGATGCGTCAGTTTACAGGCAGTTTAAGGGGACCCCCCAGGCACGATATTTAAAGGGATTTTTCATTTTTATTGTTCCCCTTTAAGTAATGTTAAAATCACTGCTCCTTTAAAGCCTTCAAAATGGGGTCATTTGGTTTTCAAAGTTCTAGCCCCATAGACTTGCATTGAGTTCGAACTTTTTCCATGTTCTAAAGTTCGAATTCGAACCGAAGACGGGGTTGTTCGGCCCATCACTAATGGCAAGTAATGGCATCGCAAGCATATTGCACCCTTTTGGTGCACTTCCTGAATTTGCATCAAAGTGTGCATTTTTTTGCCACATTTGTTGCGCATTCACAGAATGGCTAAGTGTGAACAGGAATGAAAAAGTTGTGTCACAGCGCTGAAGGTTAAGTAAATTAAATTGGTTAAAAGTGTAATCGTGTAATCCGTGATTACATTAAATAAATTAATTAAATCAAGTGTTCACATAAAAAAGTGTGTAGAATAGAAGCGTGTTTAACACAGCTTATAAAGAGTTAAGCAAAACCCAACATCATTTGTTATATAGCAAATGGAACAAACTAAAGTAAAGATTGACAACTAAAGTGTGAAATAACAATGAATATCTAGAGTTAAATTGTGTCACAAAATAAAGGTAGCACATATGTGGAAAAAAGTCGTGACAAATTAAATTGATCTCAAGTAAAACAAATAATAATAAGTTTGTCAATCAGTGATCTGTATCAAAAAGTTCTGATAGTCACACAGTGGCAAATGTAACAAAGTGAAATATGTTTTTATCGATCTAAATAGATCTATTAACGGTAATCTTGCAGAAAAAGGTATCAGAACAAAATATCAGAAAAAATATATCAAAAAACGAAAGACAAAAAATCTTGCAGAGAAGACCTCAAAGGACGGGGAAAAACAATGTTCAAGAAGTCAGAAAAGAAAACACAAGGCAGATAGTAGTGGATTTTTTTTTCGGTTTAGTCAGCAGCCCCCTTATAGATGGGTACTCACCAGAGTGCAGTGAGCAAATGAATATTTGGAATAGCGGCAGTCCGGTCCACGATCCTGTTCAAATTTAAACTCAGTTCTTCCCGCGTTGGAGATTGGCCAGGAGGGAGTTTTAACTCTGTAGTGCTGGAGATGTCCAGCGTACACCGAAGGCTATTCCTCCTAGATGCGATGTCAGCGAACCATCTCTCAGTGATCCCCGTGGTAAAAAATTAAGAAGAAAGAGCCTTCATGGTGCAGTAAATAAAAGCATTCAAGTTTATTAAAACATATAATCTCTCAGTGATCCCCGCGGTAAAAAATTAAGAAGAAAGAGCCTTCATGGTGCAGTAAATAAAAGCATTCAAGTTTATTAAAACATATAGTAACTCACATATAAAGTATAAAAAGTCCGGCCGGCAAAACAGCTCAAAAACCGCTATGTAGACTCCCTGTTTGCAAATGACTCTGCCTTTTTTTAAGGGACTTAAGGTCAATAGCCTGTGCCCTGTAACTTTCTCCCTCGTCACCAATCACATTCAAAGTTACAAGGCAGCGCGGTGGGTAGGCGTAAGGCTAGGTTCACACCTAGGCGACACCTCACCGCACGGCAATCGTGCACAATTCCGGTCAGGAGTCGCCAAGGTGTGATCTGATCGCGTTGTGGGTGCCATTATTTTCTAATTGCACCCAAGTCACGCCGGACGGATCGCAGCTGCGCGTCGTGTATCGCTAAAAAAAGGTACTTGTACCTTTTTTCTGCAATTGCCGTGCGGATGTCACGCCATTGAAATCAATGGGGCCGCGCGGCAGTCGCTGCCTGCATTGTACAGGACAGCGCAATCGCGGGATGCGCGCCTCGGGTGTCGTGCGGTGTAGTGCAGGTGTGAACCTAGCCTAAGGGGGGGGAGCGGGTGACTATCAGGGATATGATCAGGAATGAGCAAATGGTGGTATGTGTTTGCTCACTTCCTGATCAATAGAGCCGACCTGTGACAGTCTCATTGTCACAGGTCGGCTCTATGAGGATAAGTGTAATTCACTCACCTCATAGTTCTCCTTTAAGCTGTTTTCTATCCAAAAAATCTGATTTTATCGTGTGTGCAAAAATTAGGAAATGTCTTTGGATGGCAAGTGGTTAAAGGGCCATTCATTTTGATCTTATTTGTGGCCAGAGTCCTGCTTTAAGGTGCGTTTGTGACACTCTTCAGGTGTGTCCGTGTTCTTTTAACTAAATTTCGGATCATCCGAATTTTGTTCAAAATGAAACTAAATCGGATACGTGACTTTTTTCTGACCAATCAGAAAACCCCGTCCGAAACTAAAACGAAATCCAGAAAGATCCGAACAAAATAAACTCAAAAGAACAAAACAAAACAAATGTTTTTGCCAGCATACGTCTAGTGAAAATAAATGCTAATTTTATTATTTAAAAAGCTTTACAAACATGACATGGGGTACTAAAACTGGAGCAAACAGAAACTAAAAGCTGTTCATATTAACCAATCACACTGAAGGGAATTTATCATACCTGGAGCAGACAAAATCTAGATTAGTTATCCATGGCAACCAATCAGCTTCTCTCTTACATTTTCAAATCTTAATTGAACAAACTGAAGAGAGAAGCGGATTGGTTACTATGGGTAACTGTCCATTCTGTCTGCTCCAGTAGTGATAATTTCCCCCCATTCTGTCTTTAGCTTGTTCAGTTAAAGTAGAACTCTGGGGAAAACTTGTATTAACCCTTGCTGTGGGGCTACCCCTGAACTGCAAGGGTTATCTGCTTGTTTTAGTCTAGGGAGGAAAATAAAGTTGTACTCACCCTATCCTCCAAGTCAGCTGGATCCTGCAGCCCTCCCTCCAGCCTCCCTCCTCTGCTGTATGTCCCATGGCGTCCTCATGTCCTATGCACTGTGTATTGAATGTGATGAGTCAGGGATCACTGCAGCAGAGGGGGAGAGAGGCTGCAGGGACCGGTCTAAGAGCAAGCCGGCTCCCAGGATCAGGTGAGTACAACTTTATTTAATTCTCTAGACCAAAACCAGCAGTTAACCCTTGCAGTGCAGGGGTAGACCCAATACAAGTGTTAAAATACGTTTTGCCCAGAGTTCTGCTTTAAAATTCAAAGCTATAAGCTGATTGGTCGCCATTTCGGGCTGCTGCAGATTTTAGTAAAGGGACTATCAAGAATGGATGTGTAGAACTGAATTGGGATGTGACTGGGAAGCTGATAAAAGTGACCCTTTCCTAGGTCAGGATCTGATAAGACCCCCTCCATCCAGCACAAGGGGATCATAGCACCTCCCCCCACCATGCACAGCGCTGACGTCCCCCGGGATCTACGTGTCCCAATTCTCCAACACACAGCAGCCTCTGGAAGATGACAGCTGCCGCCCTGTGATTGGTGGAAGAACAGAGGCTAACGGCTCCGCTCCGCCAATAGCAGCCCTCGAGCTGACGTCACGCGGCGAGGGTCTTGCACACCAGTCTGGGGTTCCCGGAAGCGGCTGGATGCTGAGTATCCTGTACAGAGCGGGATCAGTGCGCTGTGCCGGGGACGGAGGCTGGGCTGTGTGTAGTGTGCGGGCATTGTGGGCATAGTGCACTGACCGAGCAGCCCTTCTTCCAGCCTGTAGCTGCCATGTCTGCCCTGCACTGCGCTCTCCTCCTCCTCTCCTGTATCATTACACAGGCTGCAGCCAAGGGAGTGACAACAAGCCTGGCTGCCAAGTGGCCAGAGAGCCCGTTATTGCTGGAGGCCAGGTGTGGTAAACGACTGTCACTGAATGGTAGTCATCTCTGCCATTGTCAATGTATAGCATTAGATGCTGTGTGCCTTGCATGTTCTATTGTGCCCATTCTAACCACGGCTTCTTTCACTTCATGGCCCCCCACCACTTTAATTGGATCATGGAAAACAGCTTGTCTCCAGTGGTGATGCAGATTCAGCGCATAGTGAACGCTCCTCACGCTTTTTTCGTCATTAATGAGTCACCAGCCTTGGGTTGGGACTTGGGAGCGATTTTCTACATTGCTGTTCTTGAACGCCGCACTGCGTGTTATTGGTTTTTGATGCCTCTCTGCGTACCATGCCAAACTTTTCCATGATCGTGGTTGTAAAAGTTGTTTTTTGGACGTTTAAGGATAGAAAAAGCGTGAGAGATCTGCTTTTTGTTGCCATTGGAAACAAGCACCAAAGCTATCCATACGTTATTAGAATTTCCCTCAATTGAAAGGAATGTATGAACAATGGGTAGCCCCACCGGCCCGAGTGTCAAAAATTGTTGGGCGAGCAGTGAGTACAGCCAATCGCTGTCCGGGGAACTCTGACAGCTGCGGGTGCTGGCTATCAGAATACAATTGTAGGATTCCTCCACCCGCAATGTTTAGCATGGATGGAGGAATCTGTTAGGAGTCTATTAAGCTGACCATACACTAAACATTTCTTTTAGATCTACCACCAACTAAGGCATGCAAGGACCTGTCTGATTGGATTGTATATAGTGGTCCTCATATTACATAGTTTTCATCATCCTAAAGGAGATTGTCCAATCAGATTGTATATGGTATGACCAGCTTAAGTGTATAATCAGTAGATACAGGTTTTTGTGTTTTGCTTCTCACATTGATTTTTTGCAGATTTTCAGGTGCATTGATTGAATTGTAAATGAAATCCTATTCGGCAGTATACACTTTGTAAGTGACACGTATGATGGTGGTAGATGATACTAAAACAATGCTTCCATGGGCAGGTACTGTGTATATGTGTTGTGTCGGATCATTTGATATCCCCTTTTATTGAGAGCAGTAGTAAGGCTGCAATGGCTCATCACCGTCAGAAAAACCAAAGTCTAAAGTGTAAAGCTAAATATGATGGGGCTCCCCTAATGTCTGGGGCCACAGGTAGCTACCGATTGTGCCTTTTGTATAATTCATTGCTGGCTTGTAGCAGAGAGACAGAAACAATATATACTAATTTTGGGTGTTAGTAAACCTGCTACTGTTTGTTGGCTGCATTGTGATGAAATCAGCATTATCCACTGTAAGGCCCCTTTCCCATGTGAGCTGAGAGTCTTTGAATGTCTTTAAGATGTGGGGTTTTTTTTCTAAGCGTTTACACAGGAAATTTTGCATGTTTTTGAGTTTGTTTTTAGGCTTGAGCTGTCTTTCATTTTTTTTTTTTTTAATCCAATGGAAATCTAGTTACTAGGCAAAAAAAGCATTACAAACATGCATTTCTCTCCCGTTCATTGAAGGACACAGGGCAACAGATCGTAGATCCTGAATGGTAGGGTATATCGCCACCTGCAGGAGTAGGACGATCATCTTATTAAAATCTACTGGAGCCGAAAAGAGCAACTCTGCCACAAAAGAAGCTTGTGTAGTTTTTTTGGGGGACAAGCTTTAAAGTGGCACTAAACTCAGGAGTTCAATCTTAAAAATACACTCAAGTACCTTTTTAATTATTAACAAAAATGTATCTTATTTGTGTATCACTCGGCTGTAGATTGTCAAATCATCTCTGACTTCATGCTGACACTGTCCTTCCTTCTGGAAGGCGGCTAACTTTGTTCCCCATGGTGCCTGTGTGTGTTGTAAAGTAGTCACCACTCCAAGTTCACTCCTGTGATGGACTACAATCTAACGTACAAATTAGTAAACTAAACATGGATTGTAGTCCATCACAGGAGCGAGCTTGGGGCAGTGGCTATATTACAACACACACAGGGACCATGGGGAAGAAAAGTAGCCACCCTCCAGAAGGAAGGACAGTGTCAGCACCAATTCAGAGATGATTTGAGGATCTACAGCCGAGTGATACACAAATAAGTTACATGTTTGTGAATAGTTAAGGTACCTGGATGGATTTTTAAGATTTAACTCCTGAGTTCAGTGTCACTTTAAGTGACGGTGTGCCCTGGCACCACTGAATATAATGCAAAACCTGGTCTTAAGTGTTAAAGCGCTTCTGGTGATGCTGCAAATTACTTGGGTATGAATGGGACCTATGTGACTCTACAACAATTTGCAGTCTGTTAAGCCGAGTACACACAGTTATATTTTCTTTGTTAAAACTGTCTGCTCAACAAAGAAAATATAACCTATTTCTCTATCAACGCTTTCAAGTGTGGTTGACAGAATCTCCTGCTGTTTCTATTTCTGTTGGCTGCTGTCAGAATACCCTTGCAGCTGATTGGCTGCTAGCTCCATTCGGCTGAGAATTTTCCAACCTGCTACTTCGATCAGCCGGGCGGAAGTATGCTGACAGCAGCACCCACTATGCGAATTTTGAGAACCAGCCGAAATTTGCACAGTGTATTCCCATCTTGATTTGTCAAGTCACCATGGAACAGAAACAATACAAAACTGTTTTGTGTAGAAGTGCTTTATTTGTTTCTACAAACTGCTGTCAGCCCTCAGTGTTTACAGTGTTACTAATTCATCATATAACTGTTATCTTTTATCCCTTCACAGCAATGTGACAGGCAGCATTGAAATACCAGAATCTTTGCTTAACTCTTTGCAGGCTGTTTTCCTTTACCGTATGTCTAATTTATGGTTTATGTGACATGTCAATGAAAGCTGATATTCATTATTTCTGAAGATTCTTGCTTTTCTTTTTCCTCTTTCCAGCGAGTTTATTGCAGAGGAAGGAAATGATAAGTTTTGGCAGTTTTTGGGAACCGTGCAAGAGATGACTATTTATAAAAACAAAGGTAATTTAAATAATTATCAGCTTATTAGGAGCAAATATTTGTGGGATATCGTGCTGACACCAGCAGTTTTACCAGAACTGGTACTGGACTCGTGTGGCGGTGCAGTTTTACCAGAACTGGTACTGGACTCGTGTGGCGGTGCAGTTTTACCAGAACTGGTACTGGACTCGTGTGGAGGTGCAGTTTTACTAGAACTGGTACTGGACTCGTGTGGCGGTGCAGTTTTACCAGAACTGGTACTGGACTCGTGTGGCGGTGCAGTATTACTAGAACTGGTACTGGACTCGTGTGGTGGTGCAGTTTTACCAGAACTGGTACTGGACTCGTGTGGCGGTGCAGTTCTACCAGAACTCGTACTGGACTTTGATTTCTGGGGGTCTAAAGAGATTATTGTAGGTTACTGGCTACTTAAAGGGCAGCTGAAGTCAAAAGTTTTCCTCTTAGTTTTGGATGGAGTGGAGAGGGATTAGAACCTCTCTCAGGGCTTTATTGTTGTTTGTGTCCCTGTTAGGGAGAGTGACCTCTTTATTTTTCCTGGTAACTGTTATTACTGAAAGTGAAAGAAAATACCATATTGTTATGAAATCTTCCAATGGGGACACTTGCTCTGGGAACCTGCTGACCACCAGGGATTTCTTCACATTGGAGGGATTTCCTCTTGCTTCTTCCTGTGGCTATCAGACTGGAAGTAAAGGGAAATCTCCCCAATGGGACACCGATGACTTATAAAAAAATCTGACAGGGACTATAACCTTCCCTTATGCCGTATTCACACCTGTGTGTTCCGTAAATGCGCGCTAAAGCGTTCATTATGTGCACGTTTACAGAAATGTGGCCAAGTGCGCTTGCGGTGCCTTTAATTTCTAATGGCAACCTAAACGCAGCCAGAAAGATGCACGTCCTTGCTCTGCATCAGCACACGTGAAAACACGCACAAACGCAGAATAAAAAAATGCTGGGCGTACCGCAACACCCCCTCCCACACCAGAACGCATGGAGGGTTGCTCTATCCAATCCAGTTGGTTACAGCCACAAACCGAACCGGAACGCACTTGATGTGGTGTGAAAGGGGCCCTAAGAACTGTCTGGGACTTGATTTGGGACATGACTACTTCCTGGATTGGCACTAATTAGATGGGATAATATTAATTATGGCAAATTATCTTCAAGGAGGAGACCTCCTTGCAGGTTTCTGAGGTGAGGCTTTCTGCTAAAGCAAGCGTGACCTGCAAACGTATGCTGTCCCCTACCTGTCCCTGTTATATTTGTTTTGATTAGCCACTTGTTCAGTTTTAGGGCTCATGTACATGGGCGTAATTAAATACTCATATCTACCATGGATCTTGCTGTCAACAAGATCCAGCATGAAAAATTTGTGTAATGACGCATACAGCATTTAGAAGTGTACGCGCATAAATTAATTCCAGTACCTAGAATATTCATTTATTCTAGCCACTAGAATGAATTTACACAAGTACACTCATATGCGCGTGCAAATTACACAAGTACCCTTCTCCACGAATGCAGGTTTGGGGTATTTTTTTATGTCCCTGAATGCTTATCTATCTTATGGATCTAAATAGAGTAAACTCCCCGTTATCTGGCATCCACAGGGATTGGTAGATTCTGGATAAACGTGGTTTCTGGTTGTTTGAGAGTTATTATTAAAAAGAGGTCCAACTTATGCCATACCCCATACTATACAATAACATAAACTCTGTATTGACTTCATATTGATATTGAAATGCAGTAATCAAAAGCAAATTAAGACAAATAGATGCGCAATCATTTCCAGGATAATACATGCCACAGATCAGTGAGTAGACGGGGGATTTTTTTTCTGGTTACATGAGAGTTCTGGTTAGTTGAATACCGGGTATCAGAGTTTACTGTATTATAATGTGCATGGACACATTGGATATTGTAGAACTGCATTCATAGGCATTAAAGACCCTGAAAACACTACAGATCTAAGTGTCGTTTTTCAGTCCATGTGCATCAGGCCTAAGCCTACGCCAAATGCAAACCTAAGATCACGGATGAATCTTAGGGACTGTAAGGTGACAGAGGCTACCTTTCTCATTACAGGCAGTGTCCTGTCATTAATGTGCATGTATACATTTACATATTCCTGTCGATTTGTTAAAAATGAAATCTATTTGCTAAAACTATAATATTTATGACACGCAGTCGTTCAATGTTATTGCTGTAACTATTATAAATGTTAAAGAAGAAAATCCCTCAATTCATTTGTTCAGTCTTGGGTGATCAAGTGACGCCGGATGGAAGAGTTTGCTCGGACGCAGACAGGATCCATCCTGTCAGTGTACGAGTACGGACACCCGCACGAACGTGCAGTTCGGGTGAGCGTAGAGAAGAACAGACTGCTGTGTGTGGTCACGCACCAACTGCCCGTTGTGAAAAAAGCGGACGGACAGCAAAGTCCCATTGGCTGGTAGGGAGGTCAGCATCTTTCTCCTTGCTGACTCCCTCCGTACTGTGAATGCAGAAGTGATGTGTATTGCATCACTTCCGCATTCACCTGCCAGTCATCTGGCTGCTATAGCCAGAGAAGAAGCTGATGAAGCAGATCTCTGCTTCATCAGCTTCTTTTGGGGTCCCCAGGTGATATTAGAGGTTTTAGAGACTCCTAATGTCTCCATAAAGACCTGTCGGTGTGCCTTTGCTATTATATAAGGGGATTGTTATCCCCTTATGTGATAGCAATAACAATAAGTGTAAAAAAAACATAAAAGTCACATAAAAAAGTAAAAAAAAAAGACCAAAAGTACCCACCCCCACTTTTACGCACATATAAATGTAAATACATGTTTGATGCGCCAGCGTGCAAAAACGACAATTGCGCTACACATGTTACATATGTGAGTGCAATAATTGTAGGGCCATCAATAACTGATAACACTAAACTGATGAGCGGTGAAAAGTTTTAAAGCGTCGCCTATAGCCAATTTTTGGTATTGTAGTTTTTTGAGGTTCCGCGCGCGCAATATAATAAGGCTTGACATGTTTGGTGTCCTTTTACCCGATGTGACCCCGCCTTTTATATTTTACCAAACCAATTAATAATAAATGTTTTAGAATTTAATATAGGAGAAACAGTTTTTTGTAAAAAATGTTTGGTCATTTTTAAAGTTAGTAAAAAAATAACCCCAGTGGTGAATAAATATCACCAAAAGAAAGCTCTATCTGTCCCCAAAAAAGGGTATAAAATTAATTTCAGTACAGTGTTGCATGACAATAAATGTCAGTCAAAGTATCGCAGTGCTGAATACTTAAAAATGGCCTGGCAGGAAGGGGGTTTAACACCGCGGACTTCAAGTGGTTAATATACAAGATCACATTTATGAGTGTTTTGTTTATCATTTCTATTTGTATTTTTCAGACTCTGAACACTCCTATTACAGCCTAATACTTAAGAAAGCTGGCCAGTTTCTGTCAGACCTTCAGCTCACGTTGCTGAAATTTGCCTTTTCCATAAGGGCATACTCTCCCACTGTTCAGATGTTTCAACAGGTAATCTATCTTGTTATTCTTCTACTACTGGTAAAGCTTGATTGATATGTGCTTCTCATTTCTTGCTATAAACATGTACCTTGAATTGGTCTGTTCTAAGAAACTTTTATTCATTCTTGCAGTGGAGCTACCACTGCACTGCAAGGGTTAACTGCTTGTTTTTGTCTAGGTGCTGAAAGAAAAAAAGTTATACTCACTCAATCCTCTCAGACAGCTTGCTCTTAGACCAGTCCTTTCAGCCTCGCTCCCCCTCCACTGCAGCAATCGAAGGATCCTTAAGTCATCATGTTTAATACACTGGGAGGAATTTATCAAAACTGGAGCAGACAAAATCTGGAGCAGATTTGCACTGCAATCAATGAGCTTCTCTGTCTCCTTTTCAAATTGTACCTGAGCAAACTAAAGACAGGTGCTGATTGGTTGCCATGGGCAACTGCTCCAGATTTTGTCTGCTCCAGTTTTGATAAATTCCCCCCACTGTATATAGGATCTAAGGACGCTGAAGGACATACATTCGCTGCAGCGTAGGAGGAGACAAGTTGGTGGGAATGCTGTGGCAGCCGGCTAGCTCCGAGGAGTGGATGAGCATCATTTTTTTTTATTTATTTTAGTCCCTAGACAAACATGAGAAGTTAACCCTTGCAGTGTGAGGGTAGCCTCACTGCACGGGTCAAGGCCGTGACACACTGCACGCGAAGCCGTGCAGAGCGAAGCAAAGCTATCCGGCACGGAGCTTTGCGTGCAGTCAGATGATTGACTGCACCTTCAGCCAATTGGCTCGTGCTTAACAACCGGCCAGACGGCGCATCCCGTCGCGCCGGTTTATACGCACGAGCCGATTGGCTGAAGTTGAAATTGTTCATCTCGGCACGCTCAGCTCCGCGAGCTCTCGCCAACTGAGACACACTGCACGCAAAGGCAGCGCGCCACCGCTACGCGCTGCTTCGCCTACAGTGTGTCGCGGCCTTTAATAATTTTTTTTAGAGTTCTTCTTTGATAACTTTATGATTTATCCATATACATGTGACTTTCATTGTTTTTCTAAACCCTCACTCTTACTCTTTACTTATTCTTTATGAAATTCAGTGATTTCATTTCTGTTCTATTGCATATGTTTTTTCTTGTATATGTTTATTCCTTATTCCAGTAGCTATATTTCTTCCAGCTTTCTCCCATTATTTTATTATTCTGGATTTTCCTCTGTCCTTGTCCTATGTCCGGTCATTTTATCTAGCCGTGTATTGTTGTCATGTAATGGACATGATGTATCCTTGCACTACACATTCAGTGATGTTCAGCAGCCAAGGATCAAGCAAAACTTTGCTGGCTACAGACTACTTGTCTCTTTGCCACACACTAGAAATTTGTGTTTTACAGTTCATCTGTTTCAGAACATCACATTTCTGTCCTGTATATGTGAAGGGAGGACTTTTGGTATTCTTTGAAAATGCAGCAAGGAAACCCACACTGTACTTTTATGTTGTATCCTTGATTACCAAATAACTGTGAGCAAAAGCTTTTAACTCTAGACACTCAGCCTACAAATGTGTAAATAGTAATGTTTGGTCATGTACATGTTCCATCTAGATTGATTTCCAGCATTTTAGAGTGCTGCCCTGAAACATTTTTACATTTTATTTATTTTTTTTGCCTTACCTGGTTTTTATCCAACCTACTCTCCCCAACAAACTAATTAAATTTGTCAATAAAAGCTTTCCATTTTCATTCCTTCCCTTTTTAAGACCCGATGTTGTCATCACTGGGTCTCTGTGCTGCTCTATGCAATGCAGGAAGAGGCAGGGAGGAGCTGGCAAGATGCTGTACATAGCTTTCTGAGAACATCCTAACAGCTCAGTACTCCTACTTGAGAGCCCTTAAAAGAGAACTATGGGGTAAGTGTTTTTCCCCATAGTTCTCCTCAGGGTCACGGGAGGACATAAACTAGCATCCTCCCGTGACCCAAAGCTCAGCTGTAGCTTGCGGTATACTGAGACCGCCGCAGCCGGGACGGATCCCGGCATTACTGTCGAGATCCACCCAGCTGTGTGATAGCTGGCTCTGCCTAGCTAGAGGCAGAGCCTGCTCTACCTGCCCCTCCCCCGTCCGTTCCTCCAGTCAGCGCTAGAGGATCGGAGCGGGGAGAGAAATCCCTGCAGGGAGCTGTGAGTGACAGCTCTCTGTAGGGACAGGATGGAGAAGTGAGCGACGGTATGTGTTCGCTCACTTCCCGATCTATTGAGCCGACGTGTGACAGTTTCATTGTCGCACGTCAGCTCTAACTATGAGGTTGAGTGTTTTCCACTCACCTCATATTTCTCTTTTAATCCTGATGAAGTAGTAAGCTGTAGGGTTGCAACCAATTAATCGATAATGAGAATAGTTGTCAACTATTCTTATCGATTAGTTGGATCCCCTAGCTCTCTCCTCCACACTGGGAGGGGGGCACAGCAAGCAGTGGGCGGGTGCAATAGCCAGCCTGCTATTGCCTGTTGCAATTTGAAATGGCCAATAGCAGGCTGGCTATTGCAGCAGCCCACTACCTGCTCTATTTACATTCAGCAGCTGTCTGTGGAATCTTGCCACTGGCAGCTGTCATTCCCTGGCTGAAGATATTCAAGCACCATGTGCTTACAATACATATATTTCAAAAAAAATTTTGTTTCTGCCTGACAAATTCTGCTGCGGGAGGTGCGTTGCAGTGTCATTCATTTTAATGGCACCCCAAACGCGCCTCCCACCTACAGTGTGATCATGTGCACTGGAACGCACGGTACTGCAATGCCGTGCAATTGCAAAAAATTGTGCCTGCAGCTTTATTTTGAAGTAAACTTTGTTTGTAACACTACATTTGTTTATTTTCTTAAGTTAAGTATGGCATTTCTATCATCTTTTTTAATCGAAAAAATTATCGCCCAACTAAACGATTATGAAAATAACCATTAGTGGCAGCCCTAGTAAGCTATCTCTTAGGAGGAGTTATGCCTTGATGTGTAGATGTTGTTTTGGAGGAGTGGGTGTTGGTAAGCAGACTGCATTTGCATGCATGCCACCCTAGATAGCGTCCGCATGTGATGCTGAACCTCCATGATTGAAACTCCACCCCTGGTAGACCAGGACAATAAAACTTTAAAGGAAAGAGATAGTAGATAATGCTGGATGTTCTCCAGCTAGCAATTGAGGGGGGATCTATTAGACTTGCTGCAGCTGCTAATGCACACTGTGATAAGCTTGCAGTGTATAGTGCAATCAGAGTAAGCAATGACAGTGCGTTAGGGGAGCCAGTACAACTGTGCAAGACTGCAGGTAAGGCTGGAGTTCAGCTCTAAATACTGACACTGATATGTCACAAATACTGTCTGAAATCTAGCAGGGTTATTCACAAAAGGGTGAAGAGTTTGGAGAAGACAGGAGAAGTGAACAATCTTGGCCAAAATAGCTGTTTTGGACAAATGCTCCAATGCAGCTCACTTTCCAGTTCAGCTATGTTGTCCTAGATTGTGCACTTCTGCCTTCTCCAAACTCTACACCCTTTTCTGAATAGCCCTGTAAATGGTTGCATCAAGTTACCTCATTAGGTATTGTAGTTGGTCTTTACACCACCCTAATAAATAAATCTGTTTTTATTCCAAGAATGCGGATTTTTTTATGCACTAGTCGCAGAATCTAATTGTTGAAACGCACAATGTTGGTTACAGTGTAGAATTTTTTTTGTAGTACTCACAAAGTGTTTGGCATTTCTATGTAAGCTCAAAACGGCTATTCTAGTTAATTCATATTGTAATGTATAACTGCTGCGTGGCAACAGCTGGGCAGGTTGTTGGCTTGTTCTAAAGAACTGTGTGCCGTATAAAGAGCTGCTCGATATCTGGCAATCTTTTATCAGCAAACTGTAAGTTGTGCATCAGACTTACAACGTTTACATCATATCTGCAGTAACTATTTTATAATTTTTTTTTTACTGGCATGTTCTCCCTGTACTTACATGGGTTTCCCTTGGGTACTCCTGTTTCTTACCATATTCCAAAGACATGCTGGTAGAATAATTGGCTATTGTATAACTTGGCCCTATGTGCGTGTATGTATCCATGTGTGGTAGATTGCAAGCTCCTTAGGGGCAGGGCTTGATGTAAATTTACAGCATGTAAACCGCTGAGTAAGTTGTCAGCACTATGAAAATGCCTACAATAATTAAATAACTGCCAACCACAAAGCCAACTTGTCACATTGACAGTTTAGACCAAGACTTTATGTCCCAGTAAATCTCCCTAGTGACAATAAAATTCTGGCAGAGGCTTTAACCTTTCCCTCCTGTATGTAAATTTCTGGATACTCGACAATTTTGCTGATAGTAGCTCCAAATTAAGGGTAACCCATGGGTATTTACTTTTAAATTCTGAAAATTGATGTTGGCATTGTTGGTGTGGTAGCACTGACAAACATTTTGTAGTACCTGAACCTTTAAAAAGAAGTACATTTTGGTATTTGCCATTGACTCTTACAACATATGTAACGTATGTAATGTTTTAATGTAAATGAAAAACTTTATTGATCCTGACCTCAAAACAAAAGCCTAACCAAAAAGAACATGACATCAATATTACTTTCGTACAAAAATGTCCTATGACAAAGTAAATTAATATATCAGCTACAAGGTTTGGCACCACCTAAGAGTCAGTATGAGTTTTATGTCTGCTTTGAATACAGAATATTTACACTGCATGACTCAATTGCAGGCCTGTCTTGATAATATGGCATAAAATCTGTGAGTAAAAGTTCAGGTCCATTAGAGAAAAAATAAATTAAAATTAAATATATATATATGTGTTTATCACATACATGTAATGTGTATATGGCAAACTTGCTTCACACAGAGGCCCAAAGCCCCACTTGTTTGAAATGGTTGGATGTATTATAGATCATCATAATACATCATAAATATGATTTATAACCAGTTTGCAGAGCCATTTATCCTGTGAATCTCCATAGACATTCGTTCTGTGTGACTGGAGGCACAGATGAATGTTCTTAGTATATTTTCTTTTTAAGGTCGAATGTGATCTCCGGTAAATACCACATTATGGCCACTAGATGGAGCTGAGAAGCAGGAAAGAAGTATTTCTATCTAGTGACCCTTAAAATGGGCCATAAACCTTAAGGCTCTCCCCAGCACTTATCTAGTGTGTCTTTAACATTTAAACGTCCCAACCAGTTTTCTCACACAGTTCAGTTGAGGAGGGGGGTGTAAATAGTTGCAGCAAAGCAGAGTGACTAGTAGCCTGGAATAAAAACTACTATTTCAATGAGTTCTTGACAGCGATGCACCGAAATTTCGGCCGATAAAACATATCGGCCGAAAATTGCACTTTTGTCAATATGCCAAAAGTGCCAACTTTCGTCTGAAATTGCGGTGCAGGCCTGGTTTTTCTTCTCCCCGCTCGGTGCTGTTCGGTGTCCCCTCTGACAGCGCAGCGTCCACCAGGGAGGAGAGAAACTGTCAGAGAAGGCCTAGTGGTGCGGGGGAGGAGAGCAATGTGAGCGGCCGGCGTGTCACAAGAGGTGGGGCTCTCCTCCCGCACCACCCCTCTTAGCCTCCTGTGACAGATCAGGATGGCGATCAGTGTGGGGGCGGAGATAGCTGTCACAGCAGGCCAGGCCGGCGCTGCAGAGGAGGAGTACCCTGTCAGAGGAGATCGAGCTCTCCTCTCTGCACCGCTTGCTCAGCCTCCTGTAACAGCGAGTCAGGAATGGGAGCGGGTACAAGCAGTCAGTGATCGCTGAGTGTTTGTACATAATTGAGGACACGGTATGTATACTGTGTCCCCAATTATGAATGAATGGGAAGTGATCTACTTCTCTTCCTGTTCATTCATGATTGTGGATATATTAAACATACAATGTCCTCATGTTATAAATGAACAGGAACTCTCAGTATAGAAGATTCCTGTTCATTTATAACATAGGCTGCAGAAAGAGACTCTGTCCTCAATCTCTTTTTCTATTCTGAAAGGGAAATATCAGGGGTTTGTTTGGATCCCTGAAGCTCCTTAAAGTACGGTAAAAAAAAATTTGTAATAAATAAAAATAAACTATAAAAGAAAGTTTATAAAACATACAATATTTTTTTTTTTTTTTTTAAAAGGTTAAAAAAAAAACTATTTTTCTGTTCTAGCCTGACATTTTTCTTTCTTTTTCCATATTTTTTGGTTTTAAAAATTTAATTTCGATGCGCCTCTACTTCTTGCTTGCTCTACCAGCACTTGCGGCATGCACAAAGGTAGTGATTGTCCATACATACACATTATCTAATTACCATCCAGAATCTGTAGATTAATGTTGCTCGGCATGATACCCTCAGCTGAGGGAAGATTAATCTACATTCCCATTCACAAGTAGGGAGAAGAAGAAGCAGCACAAGGACAACTCCTCACAAGGAACATCCTAAAAGGAGAAAGCAGAGTGACAGAGAGATAAGCTCATCCCTGTGCTTTCTTCTTTCCTGTCCAGCCATAGGTGAGTCCATGACAACCTGGGTTCAGTAAAGAGGAATAAATGATGCTGGTCGTTCTTCAACCTGTAAGACTGAGAACATGTAGTGGCATAAAATAAGTACTGTGGGGGGAGCTCCACATTAAGTGAGTATTGCAGCAAAAGCTGATTTATTATTTTTTAATTAGTCATTATTATTTTTTTGACTAGTGTTCTGCTTTTTAAGATTTGGGCCAGCAGTCAGAGGAGAAGGGTCAGGATGGGGAACCCTGAGGTGCCTCTGAGGAAAAAAGGTTCTCTATAAAAGTGGAGAACTTCTCTATAGATACCAGCCAGATGGAATCTTTTTATTCACTGAGATAATGTAACAGGAAATGACAATTCATTAATGTAGGCAAGTTCTCCACTTAGGCAAAATAGGCTTATTTAAGTTGCACAACTCTTCAGTCTTCCTACTTAGTGTGTTTTAATGTACAGTGAATAATTCACCGCCAGTGTATGTTTGGTGACTGTCCCATTCACTGCTATATAAATATTCTTCATGTTCTATCTCATTAAATTGCTTTCATACCTATAACCGGATTATTATATGATATTTGCACATACATATGCATTAAAATTGTCTTTTTCTCAAGCTACCACATACATATGTTTGTTTATGCTTACCCTGACACAACATTCTAGCCTCAGTAGCACTCTCCAAAATTAATCAAATGCGAGCTTTCAATCAGGAAATACACAATCATTTGAAGATGAAATGCAATTAAAGCATTTTGTTAAAAATGTAATTATTAACATTCTAGATTGCATTTGATGAGCCTCCTCCAGAAGGTTGCAGCACATTTGTCTCTATCCATGGAAGTCACACCTGCAAGGCAAGTCAGGTTAAGAAACTCTTGAAGGATGCACTGGAGAGGTGAATGTAATTTTAAGTGTCAATATTTGTGGGTATGTTTACTCAGTGCAGTATAGAAAATCAAATAATGTTACTGCTGTTTTTTAGGCCAAGACCTTACTTGTATAAAGGAGACCATGTATTCCATACGCTAACTAAGACTGCTCCAGTAGTCATTCTCTATGCTGAAGTCGGCACCAAAGCGTTTGCTACATTCCATAAATTGCTGATTGAAAAGGCAGAAAATGGGGAGATAATCTATGTCCTCCGACATTACATACAGGTATGTAAGTTGTAATTTTTAGTGCATCTAAAACCAAAACATTTTTTTTTAGATGGAGTGGAGTAGGATTACAATTCCTGTTCAGTATTATTGCCGAAGGAGAGAGTCCTTCACTTCCTATCTGTTAAAAGTTTGCCCCCAGGACAGGAAGTGAGCGAAGTCTCTCTACTAGCAACAAAGAAGTACATTTCTTTTTTAAATTATTTAAATGCTAGAACTTTTGTCAATTTTTTATTGTTGTGTTTTTCCCTGGTGCAGATTTTCCCAGAACAGAACATGAGAAGCAATATCTAATGGAGACAGATTGCAAAATAAACTTGATACTGTTCTAACCTTTCCCCTTTTTTTTTATCCAAACCCAAAAAAAAGTTTTGGGTATAAAGGTTCTAACCTTTCCCAATTCTATTCAATACATGAAAAATTAAAAGTAACGTGTGTTATACACATATGACCCTCATTTAATTATTGATTGGTGTTACTTATGATAATCATCTAAAAGAAGCATTTCCTTGAAGAATTATTGAGACTGTCATTGCTGAACTCTACTTTCCAATATACTAGTAGCCTGGCTGCCAGGTTGACCCTGTTGTATCAGTGTTTCTGAGTTGTTAACCCAGAAAAAAATGTGTATCCAAGCATGTTTGTATTCAATTTGACTTTCCTGTAATGCATACTTATTCCAGCGAGTCAGAAAGTATTTAAGCCAATGCATCCCTAAATCAGCCAAATGGGTAGCGTTTTAAGAAGGTTAGCTTATGTCTTGCTATAGTCTATAATGAAAGTTTTTATTGGTGTTTGCTAATGGAAGATGTCATTGGTAGATATTCTACTCCTTTTATTTTAGTGCCTGGATATTCCACAGCACTTAGATGAGCACTGAACTGTTCACATCAGTTTGTGGCCCCAAAGAAGCTTACAGTCTGTGTGTCTAACACACACGTGCGCACATGAAGCAAGTTGATCTCCCAGTTGGGATGCACCGATACTAGTATCTGAAAAATAAATATCTGTACTCGACACCAAAGAACCGGTATAGGTGCATCCCTATCTCCCAGTTATATTTTGGATTGTGTGAGGAAAACAGGAATGATATAGAAACATAAGGCGACATAAAAATTCTATAGACATAGCATTCTTTGAAATTGTACCATGGAACCCACTATAAAGACATTTTAAGATAAACTGCTTGCTTTAGTATTATAATTTTTTTAAAGAACAACAATTCTATTTCTTTTTTTTTTTTATATACTTGTCAATATTAGAGGCCAAGTTCAAGGAAAATGAACCTGTCGGGCTATGGTGTAGAACTTGCTATCAAAGACACAGAGTATAAGGCAATGGATGATACTCAGGCTGCAGGTATGCTGACTATGGAAAGTTGGATATATTGAAGCTGCAATAGTTAAACCATTTTAATTAAACAATAGTTAAATTACACACCTACTTCAGATATATACCGTACTGCTTTTAATACCTGAGCTTATTCTCTGATATATGAGTACATGGTCGCTAGATCATTAGTAAACATTATGGCGTCCTTTCAGTAAGTCACGTGAAATTAGGAATTGGTGTTTAAATGTGCTGCAATTAGAGCTGCTGCAATTGGTGTTGATTCAAACATCTAAATAAAATGTTCAGGTTTTTATTTATTCTTCAAGGATCGCTCTCTCTCTCGACCTCTGGAACACAAGCCGTCCAGCTCCCTGCATTCAGGGATGTGGTGTTGCATTGAAGTCATTGGCACCGCAGCCAAGCTCCCCGCCTGCAGTGCAGTCGCTCGGAACGCAGGCACATTAGTGCCAGCATTGTAGTCCAGTGCGATCTGCAAAAATGCTGCAAGCACTATTTTTGCAGATTGCACTGGACTACAATGCTGGCACTAATGGACTGCCACGCCCCCTCCCACCCAACCCTGAGGCCGAACACTCTGGAACGCAGACTTTGTGGTGTGAACTGGCCCTCTCTTTTGGCTGTCTCGTCTCGCTCTCTCCCCTGCCTCGCTCTCTCTTCTTTCTCTCTGCTGTCTCTCGTCTTTCATTTTTTTTCATTTCTGTTTATTGCCTTTTCTTTTATTTCCTCCTCTTTTAATTTTTTCAATATAGCTGTAATGGTTACACTGCTGTAGTGAAAAAATAAAATCATACTGTAAGAAAGGAAGGTGTGATATCAATGTAAATATATATACTGTGTGTGCGTGCGTGTGTATATATGTATCATTCAATGATGATAAAGATAGTTTAATATTTATATAAAACTTTGAAAGAGCTATGATTAACAAACTGAGAAGGTCGAAAGAGAAAATGTTTTATTCTGAAGAGAACCGTTCTCAACAGAGTAATAGTCAGAAAGAGAAAATGTACATGATTATGTATAAAGATCATGTGGCAGTAAAGGTTACCATTCTGTACCATACTGTTACTGTAGGCAAACTTGTCTACGCAAAGCACACTGAATGTAATGCCATAGCATTCTGGGCTAATGTTTCAGAGATCAATGTCCTTTTCAAGGTTGTTGCTGCCTTTTCCTAGTCTATTTTGTTTAGCATTTTTGGGTGAAATGAGAATATATATATTCAGTACTTTAATATTGAGGTTTTGGATGGAGTCCAAAACCTCAATATTAAAGTACTGAAAGGGAATTTTAAAAACTCATAAATGGAAAACATTTGACCAAGTTCCAACATTTATGACACCCCACTCACCCCCCAAAAAAACTTTCTCTTACTTTAAGTGGTAAACTCTATCATGTTGATTAGTATTGCTTCTGACCTGAAGAAGAAAGGTTAACTCTTGAAAGCTTGTCTTTTAAATATGATGTTAGTCCAATAAAAAAGGTATCATTACTGCAATACTTTTTTTTTTTTACATCTTGTCTACTAGACTAATACGGCTTACCCATTCACATTACAATATATGTGTGTGTGTATATATACACTGAGTGGCCAGGTTATTATGACCACCTGACGTTTGTAGGCTAATTAGCTATAATTTTACGCTGAAGTTGCTAGAGGGCCAGACCATTATAAATAGGGAAGCAGGTTGTTTACCACGACAATAGAAGTGATTTTTTTTTTCTGAAGATATGGGTAAACAACGCAATTTAACAGGCCTTTGAACGTGGGATGATTGTTGGCGCTCGTAACAATGGAGCGCGTGTATATGTATATGTGTGTGTACACACACACACACACACACACACACACACACACACACACACACACACACACTATGTGTATGTATTTGCTTCACAGATGTCCTATTAACCTCTTACCAGTTTATCACTGATAAATTAGGCTCTAGAAATACACTGTGGAAGAGTTATGAATGGGATTTCTGGTGTGCTATGTTTGCAGTAGTTACTTGGTGGGGAGTTTTATAACTACAGTGTTTAACATTTATTACTGTCATTAAAAGAGAACTATTGGGTAAGTGTTTTTCTCTCTTTAGGACCACGGGAGGACAAATAATAACCTCCTCCCGTGACCCAAAGCTCAGTATATTGCAGACTGTTGCCCGCGATATACTGAGAGCGCCGCAGCCGGGAAGGATCCCGACGAAACTCTTGAGATCCACCCAGCTGCGTGAGTGATAGTGGGCTCTGCCCCCTCCCCTGTTTGTTCCTCCACGCAGCACTGGAGGATCGGAGAGAGATGGGGGGGGGGGGGGGGGAAAAAAATGCAGGGATCGGTGACTGTCAGTCAACGCTCACTGCGGGGAGACGAGTGCTCACAAGTACAGGGAGTGCTCACTTCCCGATCGATAGAGCCGACCTGTGACAGCTTCTTTGTCACAGGTAGGCTCTAACTATGAGGATGAGTGGAAATCACACCTCATAGTTCTCCAACTGTTTACTGGTTTACATTATGAAAGACCAGAAAGAGTTATTTTGTGTTATGGCCATTTTTGCGCCCAATTAATTTTTGCACCAGAAATTGTGTGTACTGAAGCCAGAAATACTATATGTACTGCAGTAATTTGAACATACTACATGAAAATGAATGGATATTCTAGGTTTCATTCATATTCGCATATAAAAATAAATATGTTTACCACTGGTAATTGCATACAAGTAGACGGGGTTTTAAGGACCACTGGGCTTCAATTTATTTACAGGGACTGGAACTGTTGATAAGTACTTCAATTAAAATTAACATGGCAAATATTTTTTACCAAATAAGGCAAACGTAACAAGAAAACCATTTTGGATGTCCCGGAGCCATAAAAAATGGTTCTGTTCCTTACTTTTCCAATATATCTATTTTATGTTTAAGCAATAGGATGTTGCAGATGTCTTTTTAGCAATCTGGTAGGATAGGTGTGCAATGTAATCAATTCTTGTATTACAATTTTTTTTTTGCAGTTACTAATTCTACAACAAGTTCATATGAAGGAATTGATGAAGACGTTCAAGGGTTTTATTTTGACAAGTTAATGTAAGTTTCCCAAACATGCATATTTTTTATGAGAACTATGAGGCGAGTGAAAATCACTCGGCCTCATAGTTCTAGCCGACCTGTGACAATGAAACTGTCACAGGTCGGCTCAATAGATCGGGAAGTGAGCAAACGCCTACCGTTGCTCGCTCACTTCTCGATCCTGTCCCTGCAGAAAGCCGTGACTGTCACTCACGGCTCCCTGCAGGGATTCCTCCCCTCCGCTGTCCGATCCTCCAACGCGGACTGGCAGAACGGACGTGGGAGGGAGCGGGTACAGCTGGCTCTGCCTCTAGATAGATGTCAGACAGTTATGTTATGGTTACGGCCCGGGTGCGGCGTCTCAGTATATCGCAAGCTGTAGCTTGCAGTATACTGAGCTTTGGGTGAAGGGAGGACGCTAGTTTGTGTCCTCCCGTTAGCCTTAGGAGAACTATGGGGAAAAGCCCTGACCCCATAGTTCTCCTTTAAATGTATGTTGCAAAGCAGTATTGTGGAATAATATCTGACTGTAGTGTATGCTCTGTTTGTTTTTAACTCTAAATTATGTTATGCTGACTTACTGGCTGCATTTACTGTAAATTACAATTTTAATCATTTTCAGCGCTGTAAAAAGTGTTTGCTCTCTATCTGGTTTCCTTTGCCATTAAGAATGTTTTCAGGTCTACAGATAGAATCTAATGTAAGATGAATTGTACCTGCTTTAATCATTTTTCAAACTTACATTTATTTATTAAATATATTCTCCTCAGCCCAAAAAAGTATTTGCCATTTTACACTTAAAAACTGGTTGTTCTAGCTCAAGCTGTAGTAACTGCTAGGGATGCACCGATACAAGCATCGGTATCGGCCGCGATACCGAGTATTTGCATGAGTACTCGTACTCGTGCAAATACTCCGATACATAAAACGAGTACCTGTGCCGCGTCCGCCATCTTCAGGGACTCGAATCCGCCGCACACAGGCCCTCCATCGCGTCTATAGATTATCACATGTCCAGACTCCATATATTATTGTATAGTGTGGAACAGCTGTATCTAATTCTGCATACCTGGCTTTATATTATAAAGCCAAGTATGCAGAATTGGATATAGCTGTGCCACACTACAGAGTGTTCATGTTCTTCATAATATTAAGAAACTGACCTAAAATCATGATTTTGTATTGCTTTAGAAAAAATGTGACCTGTCCCTTTAAGAAAAAGTATCGGTAATTGGTATCGGCGAGTACTTGGAAAAAAGTATCGGTACTCGTACTCGGCCTTAAAAAAGTGGTATCGGTGCATCCCTAGTAACTGCTATTCAATTTTTTTCTGTAACTCTGTTTCAGTCTTTTTTGTATTGTTGTGGAGAAATTTCAGATGTGCTTACAAGCAACACTTTTCACTTCCAGCTGTTTTACAGCATCTCTGTGGGGTTTGGGTCTAAACTTTGGCAAGCCCATTGCAGAAACATAGTTGTTGCTTCTTTTTAACTATGCTTATATAGACTTGCTTCTGCATAGCATGAACCAACTATAAATCGACTTCTGCTAACAAGTTGTGTGCAATTTTAGTATATCTTGGTGTCATAACACTTGCATGTGTGTTTTAAATTACATTTTCTGTTTGGATTTTTTTCAAGACAAATGTATCCTGATTTGAAAGATAATTTGGTGGAGTTTCGAAAACATCTGATTGAAAGCACTAATGAGATGTTGCCTTTGAAAGTCTGGGAGTTGCAAGGTATGTTTGCTGTTTATTTTTCCAACATTATTTAAAGAGAGCCTTACACCAGCGTCAACGTTTTAACTCTACTACTGTTAATTGCCTGGTCTCAATGAACCTAGCAATAATAAGTGCTTTCTTACTGCTTTTTTGGTGTGCTGCACCTCATCGCTCTTGCTAAAGGTGCCATCTTTCACCATGCATTACTGGGAAAAGGATGGATCCTGAAACCGGCCCCATAATTATGTGCATGCTAGATGTCCCACATGCACAGTGTGAGATCTGGCTGTACCAGGTACTGTTTACTCAGTACCTGGTATCAAAATCTTGTCCTCTCAAAGAAAAGTTCTGTGAACAGGATTTGTTAATTCGAGGGATGGATTAATGAATGTGTAGGTAAAAATCCTGGATTTTTTTGGTTTTTAATACTGTATCCACAAATTGCAACCTTAAAGGACTGATTAGCACAGATCATTAGTTTTCTTTCATTTTAGGTTGTGTTTTAAAGCCAGTTTAGGTAAAACCATATCTACATCTATGTCATTGTAAACAATGTTTTGAGGAAGGTGGGGAGAACAGTGAAACTGTGCCAAAGTCTTACTGTGGTTTTGCCTAGAGCAGGGGTGTCTAACTTAAATTCATTCCGAGCCGCATCGGCATTAAGGTTGCCCTCAAAGGTCCGGTTGTATTTGTAAGTATATATAAATGTATGTATGTAAACATTCCAGTGCTGTGAAAATCGAGTACCATTACATTGCACATTTAGTGCAATAAGTTTCAACCTCCAAGCTGGCTAACGTCTGCCATAGGAAATTCAGTATGCTTGAGAGTAAGAGCCTTTTGACATAGGAGAGTTTACCCTTAAAAACATTTGGCAACATTGGGAATTGACATGTATGTATGCATGCTAGTATATAATTGATATCCTGCTAGGTTAAAATGTGACCCCTACACCTGGAAAGTTTTGCCTTTATACTGTACTTATAAAAAGAAGGTCCTTTCTTTGGATATATAATTTAAAGTGTAAAATTAGATTAGTTCAATAAAAACCAATCAACACATTTTAATACTACTGGAGTTAGAACCTTAATGAACATACTTTTTTGCCTATGGTAGCTCTGCCACTGACGCCAAGCTGTAGAGAGACTACAAATCCGAGCAATACATTATTCAGAAATGCAGAATACCATCAGCTATAGAGAACTCCAAACCCCAGCAAAACATTACACAACAATGCACAATGCCATCAGCTATAGAAGACTGCAAATCTCAGCAATCCATTATACAGCAAGGCAGAATAATATGAAGCTACGTACTCTGTGTTGCTCACCTGGACTGTGTGGGGGTCTCAGGAGGATGTGCAGGGTCTCACCAGGGCTGTGCGTGGCCTCACCTTGGCCTTTTTTTTTTTTTTTGTTCATCTATTCATTAAGTAAATAATGAATCTGCGTTAACTGGCAGATATCGGTCCTAGCTTATCTCAGTACTTTTTTATTAACTTGGTTTTTAAATCATGCATTAAGTAGCCTGCAAAAATACATGGGTGACAGCTCATTCTACAAACATGCGAGTTTGAGAAGTCGGGGAACATTAGCCTTGATCGTGGAGGTGCATACTGACCAATGAATGTTCTCAGATTTGGGCACAAATGGTTGCATCAGGTTGAAGATATACTGTAATGCCTGAAGGCACCTTTGGGCTTATGCTAATAAATAATTAGGCCTGCTTTGGTCTAAATAGTTAGAAACAAGGGGGGTTTACGTTTAAACGGTCATGACAACTTCAAGTTGTCTGAGGAGCTGTGGATCACAAAGGCAGTTGGGATAAAGTGGTACTTAAGTTTGCAAATGCTCACCTCTGCTTAAGCAATGCTACATCCACAAGCTTCCGTGCTGGTATCAACATTTTCTCCCTGGCTTTTTCCAGGTGTCGGGTCTTGAGGCATCTTGGTGGACAGGCAGGGAATGACATTATTTCATTCATTTTGGCACCAATGTGTGCTAAGAATGTACACTGAGCTCAGTGTGCATTCTAAGAAAGATTGCAAGCAGGCAGATAATTTTTTTTTGTTTTGTGTTTTTTTTCTTTGCAGAAGAAACATGGAATGTGTCTTCTGCAATAACAAGCCTGCCTGCTATTTCTTTTTTTCTTTTCGGTTTAGTTCTGCTATAAGTTTACCTTAGCTGTGCACCATTTTCTTTGTAGAGTGCTGAGTGTACTTTTGAGTGAAACGGCATGAAATAAGGATTCAATTTACCATAAGAGTACTTCTCCTTATGGTTGCATTGATTTTACTTGTTTAGGATTAGGGTAAATTCAGCCAACCAATTAAAAAAAAACACACGTCCTCCAAACTTTTAGAGCGGCTTTATACAGTCTGATTAAAAAAAAGAAAGCACAGCTACAGACTCCAGCATAGCATACAGAAGTTTCATAAAAGAATTATTGGAAATGATTGGTACATTTTCTCCTTTTCTTACTTATTAAAAGCTGTAAAATAAAATATATGTATTCTGATTTTTGCTTTCAATTTTATAGCCCTATATGTCCCCTATAAAGAAATAATAGGGGGCTGATATTTGTAAGCGTCATCTACAGTAAGAAAATAATCCTATTGCCCTTAGCAATGAATCAGCTTTCAACTGTCTTTTTTTTTGTAATCCTATGGGCAATATAACCAGCACTAAAATAAAAATAAAAAATGTAAACACAAAAACAAACAAACTGGTTAATGGTAATGTACTGTTATTATTATTATTATTATTATTATTATTA